AAATTATACTTACCTGTTGGACACTGCTATAAACCTGTAAAGGATCTCTGTAGCCATGTCATTGTTATAGTACTGCTGTTAAGAAGGCCATGGTACTGTAACAACACTATAACTAATCTACAATTTATTTGAGCGATCTGTGTATGAAAACACGATTACTCTTCGGAGAATTGTGGGTTTTATTTAATAAAGTATTTAAGTTGTTCGTGTATGAAGACACGATTACTCCTTTATTATTTATTGAGTTGTGGCGAACTGTTCTTTTACAAGAGCGATACATGAGCTTATTTATATATTTTAATCGTTAATAACCTTTTGCTATTATTTCTATTAATAACCCTCTAGCACTTTTCAGTATTTCTTAGTACAATTCAGTACTGCTACCATAACAAGTGCTTTAAATTTAGTAGTTTTACCTGCGCTATTTAGTGCTGGTTAGTACTATTTAGTACTGCTTAGCACTCTTGGCATTAGTGTCACATTTCTGCTTAATATCACATGACATTTAATTGCAGGAATTAATATTTTTCCCTCCTAAATTTTGAGCTCCAGTGAAACATCTTTTTAAGAGGATGGTTTAAAATAATAATAGAAATAATATAATATTATTACTAACTAAAATTTTGTAAAAATTTTATAAAAATTACTACAGGCTGGCATGTAATCGTAGCCCCTAGGAGGCAGAGTTTACCTCCACCAGCTGGTATCGAACCTATGACTGCTGGCAATAGTTATACACCGTTACTATTTTACTACAGTAGGTATAATAATAAAATTTGTTTGTTGTATAGTTTATAAAGCTAACTTTTTCGATAAAATTGTTCAATAAATTAAGGTTTGCTCATGTGGTTTAAATAAGGTTTTTAAGAGGTAATTAATTTTTTTTTGAGAATTTAGAACAAAAATTTTAACAAGATGGTCCACCATTACAAAAACTTGAACAAAAAGAAATGTTGGTCCAAGGAAGAGATTGAGAAGCAGAGATAATAAATTAATAATAAAATAAAAGTAAAAATAAAACAAAAAATAAAAGTTGAATAATAATAAATAATTTTATAATTTGTAGGGAAGACTCAGGAAAAAATTGGTAATAAAATTTTTAATAATATAGAAATATTAATAATATTAATAATAATTAATTTATATTTTTAGAGAGAGGGTGTGGATTAATCATTTCGAAAAGAAAAATGCAGATTTGGAGTAGAAGGTCAAAAATATAGAAGTTCATAAGGATCGGTGGCAAACACTATATCAGAAAAGTAATGTAGAACTTGGGAATATGATAGATAGATTGTTGCAAGAACAGAGAGAAATAGGAGAATTACCGGTGGTAAGTAGGAGAGATGCTAAGTGGAAGAAGAAATATGAAGAGTTGTCAAATAAGATCAAAAGAAGAGAAGAATTAGAGCAAGAGTTGGATGCAAATTTTTTAAGGTAGAGAAAAGCTTTTTATTTGCAGAGTAAGTTGAATGAAGTTCATGGTGAAAGAGACAAAATGAAGAAGGATAAAGATCAGTTGATGAAGAAGTTAGATGGAGAAAAAGATAAGATGAGAAAAAAGATGGATCAATTAAAGATGTTAGAAAAAGAGAAGTTAAAATGATAGCAAAGAAAGCAGGAGTAGGATAAAAAACAAGCTGAGTTGGAGAAACAAAGACAGGTGTTGATAAGTGATTGAATTTTTTATCAACGTAAGGTGCAAGAGATGTTGATGTAAGTTTTTTTTTTTTTTTTTTTTTGTAATAGAATTTTATAATATATAATTAAATAGGGATGAGACATATAAGAAAAATTTAAAAGAGATAGGAATTGGTTTTGAAAAGATAGAAGAGGATGTTATAGAGATTGAATCTGATGATTTCATGATCATACGAAATTCTGAAAATGAAGAAAGGTAGATAAATTAATAAACATATAGTTTTTTTTTTTTGTAACTTTGTATATTTTAGTCCAAGAGATAAAGAAAAAAAGGCAGTTGTTCCTGAAGAGGTTATTGCCAGAACAGAAGAGGTTATGGATTTAGATTTTGACGGGGAGGAGTAGGTTGACTGGGATGAATTTGTTTTGGATGATACTAAGGAGGGAGATAGTAGTCATGGTCCAGGTTATAGGAGATTGTAAAAGTATATAAAGTTATTTTGCCAAATAGAAATTAATAAAATACTATGTGTAAAAAAAAAAGTTTTTTTTTTTTTTTTTTAAGTTTGATTTAAATGTTATAAAATAAAAGAATAATCTATAGGAATCAAAAGAGATCTATGTAAAAAAAGTAAAAAAAGGATAAATATACTATTGGGACCATAGAAGTCTTCTTATTCCAACTTCACGGGTTTTCTTTGATGACGGACGCTCATGACAGTGTCACATGACAACCATGGTTCGTATATATATAAAATATATATATTTTTTTTTTAAATTTTATTGTTACGACAATTCTTCTGCAGGTCGATCTTTGATTTGGATACGTGGTTGTAGTATGATCCTTACATTCTTAGCAAGAGGGGCGATCCTCATCAACTTAATTCATTTTACATCTTTCAAGTAGTAGCTAAGTTGGTGGGTCTTGTTGTGAATTTTCTTGGATCTCATGCTACTTTGGTTGATGTTCTGGGTTAACTTACTTTCTTAGAGACGTCTCCCAACCAGACAAAGAAAATTATCAGTGTTTATCCTGTTAATTTTTTGTAGACTAAGCTTACTAGTCCTGTAGATAGATTTGACACTATAGATTCTAAAAAGTTGATACGTTCTGGTAGATACTCGATTATAATAGTCCGTTATATTCTGAGTATACAAGACTCTCCCAATTGTTGAATCAGCTTCTTCTATTAGTTCACCAAGGTAGTATGCATAAATCAGTGCTCTCTTTTGTTAGCATCATTGATTTCAGGTTAACAAGAGTCTTTGATAAATAATTTGAATTCTTTGCTTTAGGTCGTCGGTGGGTTGATAAGGTTCAGGATCAACTACAATGTTTGGTAGATTTACAGAAATGAGCTCTTGTAGAATGGCTTCAACAGTGGTTTCTATTTATGAGATAAGTAAATCTATCACTTTTTTACAGTCTCTTTTTATAATTCTTGAATTATTTTACTACTTCGCTTATAGTATCGCTTTAAAAGCAACGTATTAATAGAGGCGTCTAGAATTTGTCCCTTGGTTATTCGCAACTTATACATATCCTGCGCAATTCTTGCATGTATGAAGTATGGTCCTTTTCACTTAGATAAGAATTTTCTTGCCAGATTCTTACTTACGGCCATGTCGTATAACAGCACCATATCGTTTACTTGGAATAGACACTTGACTTTCTTATACTTCTTGTTCTAATAAAAACGTTGTCTATCTTGGGCTTTAATAATAGCGAATCTGGCCCTTTTTCGAACCGTCAATAATTTTTCTACAACATTGTAGAGTCACGTTAATACGTTCTCTTTGAAGATCTCTTGCTGAAGTATGGGCAAATGGGCTTCTTGGCCATACGTTAACATAAATGGGGTAAGTTTGGTGGTTGCTTGCTTAGCAGTTCTATAAGAAAACAAACCTGCAGGTATTAATGTATCCTATTCTTCTCCTTTAGTATCAAGTTTTGCTAACAATTTGCACAGAGTTCGATTGAATCGTTCGACTAGTCCATTTGTTTGGGGGTGATACAGTGTTGATAGTAAGTGGTTAATTTGAAATCTTTTAGCTAGTCTTTTTACCAACTCATTTTTAAAA